AGCCAATGACACGTTTTTCAGGATTAGTGCAAGGTTGTACTGCTGTAGCTTCTCTGATGTTTTCACAATACAACTAACTTCAACTGTTAACTTGAAGAGGGACATGGCTATCTGCCAGTACACTCAGGCCATGTGGGTCCCATGTGATGAAATCCAGGCCCCCAAGGAGAAAGTCCTCTTTGATGGGACCAGACCCACCTGAGATCTGGCCTTCAGAGGCCCCTAGGAGCAGCCCACTTCACAAAACGGGACAGTATCAAACTGGGTAAGTCCAGGAGAGAATAGCCAACCAGTTAAAGAATCAAGAACTGGGAGTATACATACATATAGCAGAGTTAGAGGCACTGGTCATTTTAGGCTGAGAGGATACAATGTGAGGGGGAAGATAAGAGTACATGAAATTATGTTGCTTACACCCAAAGTATTCTATCTTGTGTTCAAATGGGCTATTTGAAGTTAATTAAAATGAAATACAGGGCCTCCCCCAGTGGTGCAGAAGTTGAACGCTGGGCTGCGAAGCTGCCCGCAGCCTCTGCAGCGCTGGTTCGTTCCCTGGCCACCAGCGAAGGTCCCACATGGCAAGCAGACCTCTCCTGCCTCGCCTGCTGCTCCCCTCAGCAGTGTATTTCATCAGTCTGCCTGTTCTGTTCCCTGTTCTGGCTCTGGTGAATTCTCTCACCCTACCGCACTTCTGACTGTACCCAGTGCTTGTATAAATAAAAAAATAAATCTTTTTAAAAAAAGAAATACAATTTAAAATTCAGTTCTTCAGTTGAACTAGCCATATTTTTTTTTTTTTTTTCTTTTTTTTGGGGGGGGGAAGTTTTAAGATTGGTCATTTATTTTTTTTTTAAATAATAAATTTTATTTTTATATTCCCCCAAACAATTGCAAACCCCCCATTCTGACCCCAATCCCTCCCCTCCCGCCCCCCACCCCCCAAAAAGTGTCTCTGGTTCATAGTTTTTTGTTGATTTTGATTTTCACTTTCTTATAGTTATTCATTTTCCTGGTCCCTTATTTAAGTTTTCTAGATTCCTGCTATGAGTGAGACCATCCGGTATTTTTCTTTTTCTTTTTGGCTTATTTCGCTGAGCATGATCCCTTCCAGCGCCATCCATGTTGCTGCAAATTGCATGTGTTTATCTTTTTTGAATGCTGAGTAATATTCCATGGTATATATGGACCACATCTTCTTGATACAGTCATCTATTTTTGGGCATTTGGGCTGTTTCCAAAGCTTAGCTATTGTAAACAGTGCTGCTATAAACATAGGGGTGCAGGTGGTCTTTGGAATTGATGTTTCTGTGTCCTTTGGGTAAATACCTAGGAGTGGAATTGCTGGATCATATGGAAGCTCTATGTTTAGTAGGTCCAGAAATCTCCACACAGCTCTCCATAGTGGTTGGACCAGTCTGCACTCCCACCAACAGTGTAGAAGAGTTCCTTTTTCTCCACACCCTCGCCAACATTTGTTGTTGCTAGTTTTTTTAATATGTGCCATTCTCACTGGTGTAAGATGGTATCACATTGTAGTTTTGATTTGCATTTCCCTGATTACAAGTGATGTTGAACATTTTTTCATATGTCTGTTGGCCATTTGCATTTCCTCTTCAGAGAAGTTTCTTTTTAGCTCTTCTGCCCATTTTTTGACTGGATTATTTTCTTTGTTGTTGCTGAGTCTCATCAGCTCTTTGCAGATTTTTGTGATCAGTCCTTTATCATTAGTGTTGTGTGCAAAAATGTTCTCCCAGTTGGTGGGGTTTCTCTTTATTTTTGTTATTGTCTCTTTTGCTGTGCAGAAGCTCTTTAATTTGATGTAGTCCCAGCTGTTTATCTTTGCCTTCACTATCACTGCTTTGGGTGATGTGTCTGTAAAGATGTCTTTGATATGCAAATCACGTAGTGTTTCGCCTATATTTCCTTCTATGTATTTTATGGTTTCAGGTCTTATGTCTAGTTCTTTAATCCATTCTGAGTTGATTTTTGTGTATGGTGTGAGGTAGTGGTCAAGCTTCATTCTTTTGCATGTAGCGACCCAGTTTTCCCAGCACTATTTATTGAACAAACTTTCTTTGCTCCATTGCATAGTCTTTGCTCCTTTGTCAAAGATTAATTGACCATAAATTAATGGGTTTATTCTGGATTTTCTATTTGATTCCATTGGTCTGTATGTCTGTTCTTTGAACTAGCCATATTTCAAGTGGTTAGCAGCCACATGTGGCTCAGGGCCAGCATATTGGACAGCACCGATATGGAATATTCCCACCATAGTGGAAAGTTCTACTGCAATGCTGTGCTACACCCTGTGTTTTACACCAGCAATACAGGTGTAATAAGACTTAGTCATTGACCTCGAGGCGTTTACGGTTAGTGAATGAGTCAAGTCAATGAAAAATTACTATGCTATGGAATGTATAGGGGCTTTAGAAGCACAAAGGAAAAACAGTCATTGGCTTCCAGATCTGATACCAGAGACACTGGATCAGGTCTGAGGAGGAAGGAGGCATGGGAACAGGGTGAGGCAGGGCCAGAGATGGCCACGGCCTCTGCCACGCAGGCAGAGAAGAGTTAGGTATATCCGAAGAGCAGACCTGAGGGAGAGGAAAGGCCAGGAATTGACAATAGATTTTTACAAACATTCACTACCAAAAAATGAAGACACTGGGCTTCACTCATTCTGAAGCTGGAGATGGAGAGCAATGAGGACAGAGAGGAAGATGGACTCTAAGCTGAGAATAAAGGTCAGCCAGAAAAAGATGGGTGATGTGATGTAAGGGAGACACCCTGGGCAAAGGGAATACCATGTACAAGGATTCAAAGGTGACAGAAAAAAACAATCCAGGGATTGCAAGTAGTTTAGCCCATTGAAGCATAGAGTGTGGGTAGAAGTGGGGTAAATCTCATGGTCCTAATGAAGGAATTTGAACATCACCTTGGAGATCAATTCTCTCTGATGTATGTACAAACTGCTCAAAAGCTTTGTAGCTTAAAATGATACTGGTTTATTTGTTCACAATTCTATTGGTTGGTAAATTGGGCTAGCTCAGGTGGGTTGTTCTGCTGATGGTTATTCCTGTGGTGGTAGTCATCTGATGGCTCACCAGGACCGGATGGTCTAAAGTGATTCTGCTCACATGTCTAGCATTTGGTGCTAGCTAGTGGATTGGTCTTTCATTTGAAATAGGCTGGCCTGGGCTTCTTCCCATAGGAACAGTGTTCCAAGAAGATGAGAACAGAAACTACAAACCCTTTTGAAGCTTAAAGTTGGAAGTTGCACAATGTCACTTCCACCACATTCTATTGGTCAAAACAAGTTACAAGGCCAGTCTTGATGGGAGAAGTTACAAAGAATTTGTGGCTATTTTTAATCTGTCACACCCTGGGATGATGTTGACATGAACCAAGATGGCGGGTAGAGAAAAACAGACAGATATTTCATTTTAGGATATTTAAGAGGCAGACTTGAGAAGCTTTGGGGATCCTTCCTTGAACAAGGAAGAGAGTGAAGTTACAAATGACTCCTAGACCCTTGATGTGGGTGATTGGTGAATGGTAGTATTCAGAATTCAGAGGGGAAAAAAAGGAATAACAGGTTTGGGGGGAAGATAATGTTTCCAATGTGAGTCATATAAAAGATGAGGTGTCTTTTAGACAGTTGGGTGGATATAGGAAGCAGGTGAATATACAAGTCTAGGGAGAAGTTTGATTATAGACACCAGTTTGGGAGCTCAGGTGCCTTAAGCCTAAAGCATCTGGGGGTGGGGGGCTGGGTGGCTGCATCCCAGAGCTGGAATTATCTTGAGTGTAGGGATCTGGTATATCAATGCCATCACAGCAATGGATTAGCTCAGTATCCCAGAGCAAAGCAATCTGACTTTCCTTATTGAAGTTCTACCAGGCTGTAGTGGGGAAGAGGGATTAAGTTTGTAGGGAGAGACTTCAGCTTTGAATTATCAGTGGTGCAAGTGGCATGGGTATAAATCCCTGCTCCAGCCTGGAAGTCTTCTAACAACAGGTCACTGACTCAGAAAATATAATTAAGGCAATGCTTTATCACCAAGGGAGTGTCAATAGGAGCTAAAGAACCCCCAACTGTGGAGGGGATTCCCCTTCTGGGTTGGTCAAAAGGCACAATGGTCAGTTCTGACATTCTGTGAAGGTAAACTTCCCTCACCATTCCTACCCCCTTTACCATAGGCACCCAGCTTTCCAAAACGCCACAAGACTTCATTGATAGCAGTTCTGCTGGAAGGTCAGCAGGAGACTCTTACTAGGATGCAAAAGAAATTCATTCATTCATTCAACAAACATTCAACAAACCCCTACTCTATACCAAGCTGTGTGCGCTGAAAATACAGAAATGAAGACTCTAATATGAAAGCAATATGACTGCGGCTGCAAAAACTGTCTTGTTGCTGTTACTAGTTTCTGGATTGTAAAAGTCTGATGAAAGAAAGTATAAAAGAATAGGGGACTGGGGCACGGGGAAGAGTCCAAAGGTGGGATCTCTGCCTGGGTAGGATCAGGGAAAACTCCAAAGCCAGCAAGCAACACCTCTCTTTGGGCGAATAACAATATAAACGATGACATCTATTAAAGGCTTTCTCTGTGGTATTACCATGGTACCTTCTTTCCTTGGATTATATAGTTTCTCTGGCAGCACTTCTATTCTCATCTCTGAGATTTCAGCTCATCAACGCATTGTTGCAGTAAGATAGCAGCAGGGAGGGGCACTCTTGGCCGGGAGACTTCAGGTGAGCGGAACCGCAGATCTGCGACTGTGGAGGACACCCGGAGGCTTTTCACTGAGACTCCCGCCCTAGCTACGCGCGCCTCGTTGCTAGGGGTGGGGGCGCGGAAGGCTGTGGAGCGTGGAGGTTACGGATGCCTCCGCCTGGGCGCCCGCGCTCGCCCACGTCCCCGCAGGTCCAGCCTGCCGGTGGGTACAGAGCCCTCGCGGGGAGGACGGGGCGCAGCAGTCGGACCGGGAGGTGGGAACCTACGCGCTCTCCTGGCCACAGCCACCCACCTGGCCCGAGGCGGGAGGGGATTCCGAGGGCGGACCTTGGACTGGGTGGTATTACCTTTCCATCTTGGGTACTCTTCCTGACGCAGACGTCAAAAACGGACTTTTACCATCCCCCAAGGACAGGGCGAGGGACGTTTGTGATCTGAAGAGACAGAGAGGAAAAACTGCACAGAGCATGTCCCCAAAACGTGGGTCAACCTTGGGAGTCTGGCCTGGTCCTGACTTCCTAGGCAAGGCTCTGGGCAAGACCCTTTTATTCTTGGGGCCTCCTCGGTTTCCTTTATCTGTATCATTAGCCAACCAAATCAAATTATCTCCCACTTGTTTCTGTGTTTTTGTTTGTTTGAATTTTTGTTCAGATACTTGATTTTCTAGAATGTGGGTTAGAATGTACAGAGGGAGATCTGGGGAGAGGGAGGGAGATAGGAAATAAGCATTCACATCAACAGTGGACCAGAACCCCAGGGAAATAAGGTAAGGTAACCCAGCTCTGCCCCTGTGTGACCTTTAGCAAGTCACAACTCTCGAGTCTCAGACTCTTCGTGGAAGATAACACTTGGATCTCTCCAAGTGTTGCTGGAGTCTATCAAGGAATATTGCACTGGAGAATAAAGAGAGAATTCTTTGAATTAAGTTTAAAATGCTTACTAGGTACAAACTGAGGAAGAAATAGGTCCCGCGACTCAGATTTAGGCCTGGTTCCAAGTGGTACCAATAAGGACACCCAAAGCCATAAATGGATTTACTCTTCTTAAGTTTCTCCAAGCCTGAAATCAGGAATAGGGTGGGTAACTGCCTGAAGGATTTGTTGAGCAGTTTTAAAGGACCCTTATGTTGTTGCATCCATAAAATCTTGCCAAACAGACTCTTCACCTTAGCATGGCATTCATCATTCAACAGATACTTGCTTTCTATCTGTTCTCCCGACTATGCTTAAAGCACAGATACAAAAACAAACAAAACATTATTCCTCCTCTCAAGTATATTACATGTTGACAAATATAAACACTGGAAGATAACAGAATAGTATTTGCATTTCTTAATCTACTATAATAAATACAACATGAATATTATCCAAGTACAGACACTTTGTTCTGCAGATTTTAAATCGCCTTGCTATATAACAAATGAATTCTTAGCCTTACTGTGATCATTCGCTCTGGTCAGAAGAAATAATTGGCTTTGGTTTAGTATCTTTCAGACTCCTAGTCTGAAAGTATATGTATATGTTCTCTAGTATATGTTCTCTCTGGTATCTGTTATGTATGCTTAATATGTGTGATAGGAAGTGTTAGTGAGGGTGAAATTGCTACTTTTAGTAGTGCTATCACTGTTAATCTAGCAATTATGCTAGTAGCCATCTGATAATCAACAGTTTGTCAGGTTGGACTGGGGACTTTCTATACGCTAGCTTCTACAGAGATATATTATGCTATGTTGGTCAAGAGCTCAGTCCCTGGCGTCAGACTGCTTGGGTTTAGTTTCAGCCTTGCCACCTATTTGCACTTATTTGTAAACTTGTGCAAGTTATTTAATATCTGTCTCTTCTCATCTGCAAAATGAGGATAGTAGCAGTGTCTATCTCCAAGGCTTGTGGAATACATTAACTGTTAACAAATATAAAGCACTTAAGACAGTTTGTGGCACATCTTAAGTGCTATTTTTAATCTTCACAGAAGCCCAGTGATAGTTACATCTCATTTTACATATAAAAAACTGAGTTTAGAGAGAGGTTCAGCAATTCACCCAAAGCCACAGCAAAACTAATTCAGAATGAGTCCTAGTTCTAATGCTAGTGCACTTAAATGTTATTCTTACTATTTTGTGTTGCTTTTAATTCTTGGAATAAGGCTCACTGGCAATCAATGATTAGAATTTACTTTTATTTTATTTATTTGAAGTCTTAAAATAGTTGTTAAAATTAAAAAACCCCACAAAACAAACTCTGCATTTCTTCTTTATAGATATTTATAATGAAAATTCTGGACAATAATCAGGAAGGCTACCTAGTTATAATTTTGAGCAAATGTTTCTGCCTTCATTCTCCAGATACTTGAGTAAGGGTTTATATGTGATGATTTTGAAAAGCTCTTCCATCTTATGAGTCATAAATATTAAAGTATTTTAAATTGGAGAAATTGCCATTGACACAAAAAACAGTGAACTCTGAAATAAGCAGTGAACTCTTCATCCTTCTTTTTGATGAAAAGTACTATGAATAAAATGAAAATGTATAATGATACATTTAAATATATCACATTTTGCATATTTAAAAATGATGTATAATTAACATTATGTTATACTTTCCATAATTGTTGGAAATGTCAAGTTATGTAATCTTGGAATTTTGTAAGCTCTTTGTGGGGCAAAACCACACTTAACAATTTCTTTAATTAAACAAGATTTCATTTACCTTGTAAGTCACTGTACAGTGCAAACATCTGCTTAGATAGAGAAGAGATTAATTTAAGCGTCTTTTTAGTAATTAACAGAGATTAGGAAGTGGCTGTCTCAACTGTTTTCCAAAGGATAAACATTACAAAGCATTGAAAACAGCGGTTCACCAAGTAGATCCTATAAGGGTAAGTAATTCTAAAAATTATCTTTTGCTTACATGTCCTGTGAATACTCTTCAGATGGGAACTACGACTCTCTGAAGATATCAGTTAAGAATCCAGTCAGTTTTAGTCAAATCCGATCCGTTTATAGCATCTGCAGTTTCTAGTGACCTAGATCTATGGATGGCATCTGTCCTTAGACGACAGCATTGAAAAATGTGTTAGACAGGCATATACAAAGCCCCACAACCTCTGTCTGCAAGTAATATGTCCTAAGCTTTTTTGAAATCTGTCCTGGAATTTTTCGCTAGCACATTTTATACTTTTTTTTAAAAAAGATTTGTTTATTTATGCATACAAGAACTGGGGTACAGGCAAGAGATGTGGGGGTGAGAGGATCCACCAGAGACAGAGTGGGGAACAGAACAGGCAGACTGACTGAAATACACTGCTAAGGGGAGCAGCGGGCAAGACAGGAGAGGTCTGCCTCACCATGTGGGTTTCTCCCTGGCCGGGGATTGAACTCGTGCTGCAGAGGCTGTGGATTGCTTCATAGTGCGGTGCTTAACCCCTTGTGCCACCAGGGAGACCCAGCACATTTTATACTTTAATATAGAGAATCCTAGAACGCCTAATGTGGAAGGGACCTTAGCTTCACTACTTCACAACCAATGATTTTGTCATGCTCTGTGAGCCACTTGAGGTACAAGGGTGAATATGGTGGTATCTTTCCTCTTAGGAAACATGCGGTCTACCAAAAATCATTTAATATAATGTCCTCATTTACAAATGGGGAGGCTGAGGTGCACAGAGGAGAATGGAGAAACTCAAAGACAAAGGTGGCTGGTTCTACAGTCCCAGGCTCTCAATGCCACTCTGTTCTTCCTACTGGGCTGTGCTTTTGTGCTAGTTACCTATTCTTGTCAGGATGTCAATTCTGGCAGCTTCATAATGTAGACTGTTCTGGAAAGTTACCTTTTAATGATAATGGGATAACTGAGAATATTTACTTGGTGAGTCTTAGCTGCCATTCTCCCTATAGGGTTTTTCTAGAACTAGCCTGATTATGCTCATAAGAAGCTTATTTTCTAGAACTTCTTTAAACAGAACCCTAGAAGAGGTGGGGACTGAGTGCTCCCACCTCAGTTACTGAAGGGTAACTGAACAATTTTTGCTTGAACACTTGTTTTTTAATTCTTTTGGCTATATTAAAATTAGTTTTACTTTTGCTTTTGTTTATTTGTCTTATCGCTTTATAACTAATACTCAGGGGCCTCTCCGGTGGCGCAGCAGTTGAGCACTGGGTTGCGAAGCTGCCCACAGCCTCTGCAGCACCAGTGCGATCCCCTGCCACCGGGCAAGGTCCCACATGGCGCGCAGACCTCTCCTGCCGCCTGCTGCTCCCCTCAGCAGTGTACTTCCTCTGTCTGCCTGTTCTGCTCCCCGCTCTGGCTCTGGTGAATTCTCTCACCCTACCATGCTTCTGACTGTACCCAGTGCTTGTATAAATAAATAAATAAATAAATCTTTAAAAAATATATATAACTAATACTCAGGATGCAATTCAGGGTTATAGGAGTGAGGCAGGGAAGGAAGAAAAGCAAATGTGTACAGTTAGTATTTCTTTAAAAAAAAAAAAAAAGGATCTATTTTTAGCATAACCAAACTACAGTTGTGCCTATAAGATTAACAGTTTGTGGTCTTCTCTTCATCATACAAGGAACACAACTTCCCGCAGCCAAGGAATGCTGCTACTCAAGTGCCATCTGAACCAAGTTCCTCAGGAGGTTTCCTGTAGGTTTTATCCTGTGATGGGAAAACTGCAAAGCAAACTCAAACACCGCACTTACAAATACAGGTACAGCAATCCAACCACGGGATCCCAAATTTTATCATGCCCTGTTCTTCACTAGAGAGAGGTTCCAGCACAAGTACTGATGACCCTCCTTGAACAGTCAATTTGGTCTGTTTTCTTTGGGGTAAGAATCACCCTACTAATTAGTGTCTGCAGCCACACAGAGAGGGGCCCTCCAATTCTGGAAATAATTTCTACTGTGAGCAAAGACTCCTGATTTCTTGACTTCAAGGTTCCCCTTATCAGATTCCTGTTATTCAGCATCCAGAGCATGTTCAAGGCTTACTGCCACCACTTCCGGCAATGTCAGCGGGTCGCTTTTCTCTACTCCTTTTCCACCTGTCTCTTTAGCCCCCTCCAATCCTTCCCCTTGCACTCCTCTGTAATCGCACGCCTCTGGGCCTCTCATTTCCCATCCTCTTTTAGCAGGCCTGATGGAATTATAGAAGAGAGAATTCAAACTAAAGCTTTTCAAGAGTATAGTCCAGCCCACGTGGATCCTGTCTCTGTTGTTGCTGCTCTGAACACAGACCTTTGTGTCTCCGGAGGAAAAGATAAGGTGGGGTTTGCAGTGCTTCCAAGGAAACAAACTTATTTCAGGGAAGGACAACTATTTTGCAAGGCAGTGAGGTGGTCCCGGTTTTGCATTTCTGGCAGTGGTGTTGAGCAGTATTGAATAGTGTGAAAACATGGGCTTTACAGTTAGAGACTGAGTTTAAATCCCTGCTCTGCCACTTCCTATTACTTTTGGCATGTCTTTTATTTCCTTTAGTTTCATTCTCCTTATCTTTTTAATGGGGATAACAATGCCACCCTCATAGGACACTTGTGAGCATTGTGTGGCAAGATCCTTAGCACTATGCCAAAACTACCCACAGGCTTTTTATATATGACAAGATTATTGTAGCTGATCCAGTTTTATACCTACACACAGACACAGAAGGTAGTCATAAGCAAATAGAGCCTTCTAGTCTTTTTTGTTGTTTTTGTTTTTGCACTTCTTTTGCCAAAATGTCTGCATTGGTGTGCATTGTGATTCTTAAGTTTTTGTTCCTCCTTCTGTTGTCATTTTGAATCTGGTTGCTTTCTCTCCCTCATGTTTGGATCTCTTATAGCACTCACAGCTCGGATATTGGTAACAAAATTGTAGTAAATTCTTTTGTAGTAAAGAAATGTCTCTCATTTTCATCCTCATTTAGAGTCTTCAATTCCATTTTATACTGTTTTTCATTGATCCAAAGATGTGTACATTTTTACATTTCAATACCTTTGAAATCAGGATGCAGCCACAAAGTGATGAGAAAACATGGTAAATTTAATTGGTGGCATTTTGTCTTAAAATTGACATCATCTTAGTTATATGGAATTGTATTTGTATCTGTGATCCTCTCCTGTGAGTACACAGAAGGATTTAACTCAGTCCAGTGCTAACATGCTCCTTACTCTCCAGCAATGATTTATGGGCAGAGAATGCTTTTGAAACTTTGTTTAGGCAGAGAAATGCTTACCACAAAATATTAAAGTATATACTACACCTGGGGAAAGGATGGAAAAATTTTAACAGTGATTTTTCTCTGGAAGAAGGGATTCTGGATGAGGTTTTTATTTTTTTTTGTGGGATCCTCGCCGGTGATCAGGGATCAAACCGGCGCTGCAGAGGCTGCGGGCAGCTTTGCAACCCAGCGCTCAACCGCTGCGCCACCAGGGGAGGCCCTGGATGAGGTTTTTAATATTAAAAAAGGAATGATCTGGGCCTCCCTGGTGGCGCGTGGAGTTAAGTCGCAGCACTATGAAGCTATTGGCAGCCACCGCAGCTCGAGTTCAACCCCCTCCTCCCCCGTCCCCATCCCCAGCCAGATAGCTGACCCACATGGTGAGCAGACCTATCCGGTCTGGCCTGCTGCTCCCCTCAGCAGTGTATTTCAGTCATTCTGCCTGTTCTGCTCCCCACTCTGTCTCTGGTAAAACCTCTCACACACAACCCCACACCTCTGGCCTAAACCCCAGCTCTTGTATGTATAAATAAATAAAATCTTAAAAAATCTTAGAAAAAGTAAGGAATGATCTGCTTCACAACAGTGTGACTATACTTAACACTGCTGAACTATTCAGCTGCAAATGATTAAGATGGTAAATTATAAAAACACTGAAATAAAATTACATTACAGTAATGGGGAACAAAATTGAATCCCATGTAGACTTCTTGAGTGTTTATAACTGGAGCCTGAACCCGAATCAATCCCCGCTGGGGAGTGTTATCCCAAACCCATCAGTATGGCTCAGAGGAGCGGCCCACTGGGGAGAGACAGAGAAACAATGGAGGAAAGAAAAGCCACTCAAAGTAGGGGACACTGAGAAGGACACAACAACAAAACCCTAAAGCTTGGTGCAGTTCCCTTGACAGATGAAATTAGGTAGAGAATGAAGTGAAAGGCTTGCTATGTGAGTTAAGCCAAAGTTCAGTTGGCCTAAGATATCCTAATGCCTCTCCCTGCAGACAGTGGTGGCCTGTAACTGGAAGACTGGGGATGTGGTGAAACGGTTCAAAGGACACGAAAGTGAAATCACCAAGGTAAATGTCAAGTGATTATTAGCATGGAGGGAATTTGGGACTGAAGAAAGGGCTAGCTCAGCGCTCTCGGTAAGAGAGTGAAAAGACATTCTTACACTGCGAGGGCAAACCATTCACTTCACTTGCCACAGGGGTGCGAGACCCAACTTGTTGCTATGAAGCCCTCAATAGCTCAGGTAGTGAATAGAGAACAGCTGAGAATAACTCTATGCAGCCTGTCCTCACCTAGCAGAGATATAGATTGAAGGTTTACTGTGTGTTTACCAAAGCCAGGAAAATGACCAAAGTCCCTCTGCTCAGGAACCTTCTAATCTAGTGGGGGAGATTTTAAAAAGTCAACATCAGTTAAATAAAAATTTGTTAGAGCATTACAGAGTGGAGTGACCTTCCAGTAAACGGATAGGGAGCATCAGTGCACGTATAACCCCCGTCTCTAAAGCCCACCTGAACCAGCCAAAAATTAAAAGACAAACTTCCTCCTGTGAAACTGGGCACCAACCACAATCCAATAACACAGAATGTGACACTGAACTGGCAGAGCGCGTTTGGAACCGGACAGATCAGCGGGCTCTAGCATGCTTTCCCCAGGCCTTTTCCCCATTTCAAAGTCCAGTCAAAGCGCTTTGTTCCCTTGAGCAGATCGCCTGTGTTCCCAAATCCAGCCAGTTCTTCAGCGCCTCCCGCGACAGGACTGTCGTGATGTGGGACTTGTTGGGGTCCCCACAGCCCTGGCAGCACTTCTCTGGCCACAGCATGGTGGTCACCGGGTTGGCGGTGAGTCCAGGTAAGCAAAGCAGATCTCTTCCCCGTGCCACGGCGATTTCTGGAAAGGACTTTTAGAAGATGGCCCACCTCATGTGCCATATTTTTGCTATTGTTCCCCAAGACTCGTCACAGCTATGCTCTGGCTCGCGGGACAACACCCTGCTTCTGTGGGATGTGGGGACCGGCCAGTGTGTGGAGAGAGCTTCAGTCTCCAGGAACCTGGTACGAGTTCAAGTTTGTTCAGAGAGCAGAGCTGGGCAGCAGAAGGGGGCCTGGCGTGAGGGAGAGGGCCCGGGAGGGAGACCCAGAGACCCACAACCAGTCACTTGTAGCTTGGGTCCTCATTACCGCTCACCTCTCAGGGTTCTTGGATAGGTGATTGTTTTGCAAACATCCCAGGCCAGGTAGTTTCATTGTTGGTTCTCACAGATGAGAAGATAATTTTGGAGGCTTCGGTAGATTTTTACAGGCCTTTAATGCCGAATTGGGGGAAAGACCAGCTTTCTCCTCGGCATTTCTCTGGCTGCCTCCCCTCTGTGTAGCTGTCGTCCTGCTGCAGAGTGCCAACACCCTTATATCCCTTCACCCCTCGCCACAGGTGTCCCTATTTACATGTGCACATGCCCCACACTCTTTGGACCCAGGTGTCCGTAATTACAGGTGTGCATGCAAGACCACAGATGCCGGTCATAGATGCTAATGGCGGGGCAGGGTGGCGGGAGGTGGGGGTCGTGAAAAAAGCCTTATTTTTAACTCATTTACCCTACAGTGATCTCTTAAGATCTTCTGCTGCCCAGAATGATTCCGCTTGCTTATATTGAATTTTAAATGGTGTCCTTGTTTATTCCTTCAAAATCTAGTTCCAGTAGATGCCCCCATCCATGGCATACCCCTTGGTGCATGCTTGAAACCATGGACAGTAGCAAAGCCTATGTGTAGCATGTTTCCTGTATGTACACATGTATGATAGTTTCATTTGGAAATTAGAAACAGTGATATTAACAAAGTAATAATAAAATAAGACAGTTACAACAATATACTACAGATAATTGAAATCATGGAAAATGAGACCACAGATGATGGGGGACTAGTGTATTCCAGCATTTCTATGGATCAGACACTGCTTGGAGCAGGCCTAGTGACCTGGGACACAGACTTGGCCCTCAGAAGCTCACCACTTAGTGTGTGTTCTGGCTATGTAACATCATGCAGAAAAATAAGCATGCCCTTTTGTCTATGTGCCATGTGCTCTGTTTATAGAGGAATGTTTTCTGGTAGTGTACTGGCATCTGAACCCCACCTCCTTTTGGGTCAGGCATATCTGGGTTCAAATCATGGATCCTTCACTGTTTAGCTCTGTTACTCTGAGAAAGTTACAGAGTCTTATTTATAAAGTGGGGAGCACTATATCAATGGATGCAATAGATGTTCCTCAGTGGTCATCACTGTCTAGTTTGAAGACCACTGTCAATGGCAAGGTGCTTGCCATACATGCTGCATGTTTGTGAAGGTTGCATAGGGAATTCTGTTCCCTTGGGTTGTTTCTGAAAACTGTTTCATGCCGGTCCAGCAGAGGGCTGCAGGGATAAAGAGAAACAGCACCCTTCCTGAATGCTATGAGGCCCACACCAGGGTTTCAGCGGTTCCCCCTGAGAAGGGCTGCCCTCCTTAGCAGCCACCCAGCCTGCAGCTCTCTAGCACGTCTGGGTTTGAAGCACTCTGAGTGCCCACATGCATTTTGGGTCTTACAAGTGGCCCAGCTGCTGTTATCACTGCTGCCATCACTGCTGCTAGCCTGGGAAATACAAGTAGGGCATCTCCTAGATGGTGGCCATCTGCAAAACATAAAACCCCTAAGGTCAAACCTTTTCATTCAGTGTCCATGAGAAAGGCAGAGATGCCATTTAGCACAGCTGAGAGGGGCTCCAGCCGAGGAGTGACTCGGTTAGAGAAGTTCTGAAGATGCTGCCTCTTCCAGGTCACTCATCTGTGCTGGGTCCCCGGGGAACCGTACATACTGCAGACCTCTGAAGACAAAACCCTCAGGTGGGCTTACTGAGCGGCAGTGAAGGTGTTTCTGGTGAAGGTTTGTGGCTTCTGTGCTTCCTCAACCCCGTCCCCTCTGCTTCTCTGCATGGCTGTGCCCTTCCACCTCTGTCTCCTGCTGGTGCCGGACCTCTCTGATCTGGCCCCATGGATCACCTGGGTAGAGATTGAATGCCAGGGGGTAAGGCCAGGAAAAAGCCTTTGTTCTGGATGGTTTTAAAGTGGCTTATTTTGCCTGCTGCACTGTGTGGACCTGTTCAGGTTCAGCTCAGGGTCGGTCACTTGCTCGACCCAACCCTTCAAGCTGCCAGGTCCAACATGCCCCTCCCTACCCCAACACCCCCACTGCTCAGTCTCAGCCCTCAAGTGAAGCCCTCCCTGGGGAAGCAGGGTTAGAATCACCCTCAGGAGCTCACATGAAGTAAATCATTCTCAGGCTAGAAAGCAGGACTAGAAACTGGATCTCTGAAGAGATTCTACTTAGAAAATGGTAATAATGAGACAAGCAATAAAACTGAATACTTCCCCCAGTGTACTCCATGGTACAGGTTGCACAAGGTCTATAAATCTTTTATATCTGATTCTGGAACCATGACTGTCTCTTCTGAATCATGAGTGTCTTTTTTTTTTAATCAAATCATAGGCACAGAAATGTACTCTTTTCTGTTAAAATCAGTATCCCAAAGGACCAATTAACAATTAAGATGTTAGGCCTAAATTCCTTTTAACTGGATCTGAAAATAGAAAAAACTCATGTGTCATCCAGTTTGGCTATTTCTTACCAGCTTTGGAGTCTCTAAAACTGATCTGGTCCATGCAATTACTTTTAGCTAAATAATGACATTCTAGTCTGGCTGGCTGAAGCAGCAAAGAGCCAAAACTTTCATGTAACAGGTGCATTATTTCAGATATATTTACTACAAACTCATTTCCTGCTGTGATTTCTTTCAGATTATGGGATAGTCGGGGGCTACAGGTAGCTCATATATTTCCCACAAAGCAGCATATTCAGACCTACTGTGAGGTCAGTGAAGATGGACAAAAGTGTGTCTCCTGCAGCAGCGGCTTTGGAGGGGAAGGCTGTGAAGCTACGGTAAGAGATTGGAGTTAAGTATCTGTTATTGAGCAAATTACTTATGCTGACCTCATGCCTATACTGAGCTACATAGGCAGGCTTCCTAATGGCTCAGGCCTATTCAGGTGCATACTGTGAGGGATCTTTTGCATTCCAGATACTTCTTTCAAGCAACATCTATTAGTCCAGGGCTTTCTGAATTGGTGGTAGAAAAGAAAATGGAATGAGAGTGAGGCTAGGAAGGCACTAAATTCAACCTGCCTGCTTATGTCCCCACCCCCAGTAGAGCTTAGAAAAGGCAAACTGCTTGAAGAACCAAGTGTATTTCCATTATTCATGTGACCCCAGTAAAGAGGGTTAAGCTTCTTGGGCAGTTTGGAGCTCTACTGTTGGTTGAGGTTTCCACCCTATCCTTTACCTATATACTTTTCCTGGCAATTAATTTTAGGACAGATTGCCAAAGCATCCCCAAAGTATCTTAGATTCCTAATCATAAAATATCAGTTAAAAGGGTTATCTAGGGCCTCCCTGGTGGCACAGTGGTTGCGCGCTGGGTTGCGAAGCTGCCCACAGCCTCTGCAGAGCCGGTTCCATTCCCGGCCACTGGGTGAGGGTCCCACATGGCGCGCAGACCTCTCCTGCCTCCTGCTGCTCCCCTCAGCAGTGTACTTCGTCTGTCTGCCTGCTCTGCTCCCCGCTCTGGCTCTGGTGAATTCTCTCACTCTCCTGCGCTTCTGACTATACCCAGTGCTTGTATAAATAAATAAATAAATCTTAAAAAAAAATAAAAGGGTTATCTAGTATTTATTTTTTTTAAAGGTTTATTTATTTATTATTTTTTTTTTATACAAGCATTGGTACAGTCAGAAGCGCGGGAGGTTGAGAATTCACCAGAGCCAGAGCAGAGAGCAGAAAAGGCAGACCGATGAAGCACACTGCTTGGGGGAGCAGCGGGCAGCAGGAGAGGTCTGCGCGCCATGTGGGACCCTCACCCGGCAGCCGGGGATCGAACTGGTGCTGCAGAGGCTGCGGGCAGCTTCGCAGCCCAGAGCTCAACTGCCTCGCCACTGGGGAGGCCCTTATCTAGTATTTAAATGGAGCAGTTGCATCTCCCATTTTATTAAACATTTGTTATTTGCCAGGTACTAGACTGAGCATGTTACATGCATGATCTCATTTAATCCTTAAAGCAACCTGTGTGTTAGATACTATTATAATTTCCATTTTATAGGTGAGGAGATAGAGACATGGCCAGCTGAAATCTGTTGCACAAAACCACACCTCCAGGAAGTGGTAGATCATGGTGTTAATTTCCAGGCTGTTGATGTAGCATCTCTTCTCCAAGCAAACCATCCCCAGCTCCTACAACTGTTCCTTGGATGATATGGTGTTCAGTGATTTCATTATTTTTTGGATACAAATCAGTTTGCTCTCCTCCCTGAACATTATTCTCAAGATGTGGTCTGATCTCAAACCTTAGTGGTACTGGGAGGACTGTCACCTCTCTTGTAGCCTCCATGTATCAAGGTCCAACATCTAGGCATGAAATCTGAGTATTGTGAGAAGGTGCTACTAACTATGGGGTGCACACAGTCCCCACAGAGGCCAAAAGGCTGACATAAGGCAGTTCTTGAATGACATAGAAGACAGGCAGCCCCACACTGTCCCTACCCATGAAGAAGGCAGCAACCCTTTCAGCGCGTCCTTATCCAGGGCTGTCTGAAACATAGTTGATGTTAAAATAATGTTTGGATGGATAGATGGGATGGATGAAGTTAAAGGCAGCTACGTGAGCGGAAGGAATAGGTGAATCATGAGCGGGTGGGGAGGTGGATATCAATAAATGAAGCATGTATGAAGCTAGAGAAATATATATGTACAAGTTGGCCCATGTCATTACTTTGCAGTTGTGGGATCTACGGCAGACACGGAACAGAATATGTGAGTATAAGGGGCATTTCCAGACCATTGCATCATGTGTCTTTCTACCAAGAACACTGGCCTTGATGCCTCTAATTGCTACTTCATCACATGACTGCAAGGTGAAGATTTGGAACCAAGACACTGGCGGTAAGGACCTGGTGCTCAAAGATCATTAACTTCTAAAGGTTCCTTAAAACACTTTCCATTTTATTGCTCCACATCTACAAAGCCATCTTGTCCTGCCCCTAGCGAGACACCTAGTGATTAAGAGATAATACCAAGGTCTCCCTGGTGGTGCAAGGGGTTAAGCACTGCACTATGAAGCAATCCACAGCTTCTGCAGCACAAGTTCCATCTCCGACCAGCCAGGGAGAAACCACATGGTGAAGCACTCTCCTGTCTCGCCCGCTGCTCCCCTCAGCAGTGTATTTCAGTCAGTCTGCCTGTTCTGTTCCCCACTCTGTCTCTGGTGAATCCTCTCACCTCCCACATCTCTGGACTGTACCCCAGCTCTTGTATGCATAAATAAATAAATCTTAAAAAAAAAAAGAAATAACACCAAGACGCCGGAATCTCTGTTCAACCTCTGAAGAGAAGCCCTCACCGTATATCCTCCAGAGCCACGTTGTATGTACAGACTCAATTTCCGAGAATGCAAATATATTGACTCTTAAAGTCTTTCTATCCAAAGTTGCTTATCAGGTTTTTATCTATGATGCTCAAAATGTCTGGGAAAAGAGAAAAAGAATGGGCTGTTTTTGAGTTCATTTCAAATGCGAGCTTAAGTTCTTGGCAAGGGTAAGGTTGAGTATGGGGTGGTGTTAGAAAGACTGCAACCTACCATGCCTCTCCTTAAGGCTTGATATCTTAGTGAGGTGGGGGCACTTCAAAGCACCAGAGGAAAAGAAGTTTTAAGGAACAAAACTCCCCAAAGTCCTCGATGAGGTGGGACACTGGATTCAGCTCCTGCTGTTGGACTGTTAAATATATGCTCATCGTGGAGAAGTTCCATCACAGATATTGGCAAATGCTATGAGTGAAGCTTATTGGTTTTTCTCTTCCAGAAAACCTCTATGCTATTCTTTCCTGGACAGGGGGTTCAGGCAGACACAGGAATAACATTCATTTAGAGACTCTCAAACCGAATCCCTCCTACAGTAATCTTCCAGAATCTCAGCTCCCAGGAGGGAGGGTATAATAATCTCTCAGATACCAGATGTAGGGTCATGTTACTGGCACACAACCAGCCTGTTCATGGTGAGGACAGCCCTGCTCTACTCTCCCCATAGTAGCCTCTCCAGCTGCCTGGGGGTAACAGTCGGGACGGGAAGGGGGGGCAGTGAGGCAAGCAGATATTTTAGTCAATGATCATAAACCTGAGGCCAGAGAGTTTGACGATGCCACCCTGCCACCAGGTGCATGCCAACAGTTCTTAGACAAGCAGCCACTGAGATGCAGAAGTGGGGAGACTGAATCACTTGGAAGCCCCCAGACTGCCTTCAGGTTCCTCACCCCCCCTTATCCTTTGCATTGATGGCAGCAGGATCCCGGAAGCCAGCATCTGACGATCAGTGTCCTTACCTGCTTTTCTCTGCCCTGGCCTCTGCTTTGTTCCCTGGGTGGGTAATTGTTGAGTAGCTTGGTAACATATTCTCGCAGCAGAGGCCCAGTTGTCAGACACACACTCGGTGGCGCATATATACTGTTCCCTGGAACTGAAGTTGGCCTGACCCGAGCTCTGCCGTGTCTGAACATGCCAGTGCACGTTCTCTGAAGCACGCGGTGCCTTTTATCTGGGTTAGATAGAAATAGCTCAGGTTTTACTTACATGGATTTCTCCAAAGACATCTTGGCCTAACTTGCTGGCTCTCCCTTCCTCCCCCAGCCTGCCTTTTCACCTTGTCTCTGGATGGCTCGGGACCTTTGACTTCGCTGGCTGTTGGCGACCCCGTCTCCTTGCTGTGTGCCAGCTTCCACAGAGGAATTCACTTGCTCAGAGTGGACCACAGCCGAGGGCTGGAACTGCGGCACGTGGCAGCCTTCTGAGGCCAAGAAATGTTCCCTGGACAGTAGTAAACCACGGCCCCTCCTTTCTCAGTGTGCTTTGTGCTTTCCATGCCTGGCTTTCCATGTTACGTTGTGGGAGGCTGATGTGGCTGGTGTTCTTCGGGTCACTTAGGGGGTACATCGGTGTTAGAAGTCAGTTCAAGTCCAGTGCTTCAAAACCAGCTTTGAAGTTTAGAAACATGGGGTGAACATAAGGTTCTCAATCTATGTTTATGGCTCAAAATAATGACTTGTAAGTGCAGTGAAGGCCTCTGTCTGAGAGAGTCAGAACCCAGGGCCCGAGTCTGTTGAACTGACCTTGTCCATGTGGCCGCAAAAGAAAAAAAATGCAGGGGTGGGAGAGAGAGACTGTTTGGTCACCTCAAAATTGTTGAAAGACTAGTGCAGCTCCACAGAGGACGTAGACTTTATACTTGAGCGTCACTGCAGTCACTGCTCCTCAGCAATAGGAGGAATCCTTTATGGCCAGAGAGCAAGAGCCTTGGCTTCTACTCTCAGGAGCAGCACAGTGGGAGTAGCAAATCCCTGCCTGCTCTTGGTGCCCGCCTGGGCCAGGGCTCGAACCAGTTCTAATGAAGAAACACTTATCCAAAACCCGGATGGCCTCCCTTACACTCCCAGCCCACATGCTAAGGAGTTGGTAATAGCACACGCTGGTTCGGTGAGCTTTTATACTTTATATAAATGGAATCATACTGTACTGTGGTATGTGGGAAGACAGCCACGGATTTCTCCCAGCCACATTGTGTGACCCTTTGCAACCTGACCTCTCGTCAATAGGTAGGGTCTAGATTCCCCTAGAATCTGCTCTGATCTTTGACTTCACTTGATTGACAGAATGCAGAGGCATAATCAGTGAGCAACTTCTAAGGCCTTGTGGCTTCACTTCCACCCTCTTGGAATGCTGCCCTGCGGTCTTGTCAGGGAGGTGACCTAGGCCACATGGGGAGAACCAAGCACCACCAGTAAGCAAGCCCCCCTTGGACCTTCCAACCTAGACAAATCTGAATACTGCTATAGATGAAATCAGAAGATGAACTACATAGCCACCCCACACAATCCAGGGAAATAATAAATTGCTGCTGTTTTAAGATAGTGGGTTTTGGGGTTGTTATGCACCATTTAAATTGTTAATAAATTTCAGTAAAACCATTCTCATTTTTGGTTAGGCTCCTTTCGCTCGATTTTTTTTTTAAGATTTATTTATTTACATAAGAACTGGGGTACAGGTCAGAGGTGCAGGAGAGCGAGAGGACTCACCAGAGACAAAGTGGGAAGCAGAACAGGCAGACTGAAATACACTGCTGAGGGGAACAGCGGGCGAGACAGGAGAGGACTGCTGCGCCATGTGGGTAGTTCCCTGGCCGGCCGGGAATCGAACCAGCACTGCAGAGGCTGCAGACAGCCCCATAGAGCTGCGTTCAACCCCCTACACCACCAGGGAGGCCCCTCAATATGTTTTGAGTTTGGTTCACACTACTGCATAGAGGTGAGCAGCATCCCTCATGCAGACCGATGCTTCCACCAAGGCCTCTACTCAGTGCTGCGTTGTCCTGGTGGTATGGGCACAAGAATGAAGAGAGAGGGCCTCCCCGGTGGCGCGCAGCGGTTGAGCGCTGGGTTGCGAAGCTGCCCGCAGCCTCTGCAGCGCCAGTTCGATCCCCGGCTGCTCCCCGGCCACCGGAGGAGGGTCCCACATGGCGCGCAGACCTCTCCTGCCGCCCGCTGCTCCCCTCAGCAGTGTACTTCCGTCCTTCTGCCTGCTCTGCTCCCCGCTCTGGCTCTGGTGAATTCTCTCACCCTCCTGTGCTTCTGACTGTACCCAGTGCTTGTAGAAATAAATAAAAATAAATCTAAAAAAAAAAAAAAAGAATGAAGAGAGAGGAGCTGGGAGGAGTCATTTGTATAATAATGTATGGAATAAGTGACGAAAAATAAAAAATCACAGAAGATTCCAGATATTCCCCCAAGGGTGTGATAGGCAGCTTGCCACCTAGTCAAGGTCTTGCCCACAGAAAATCAAAAAGCCCAGATCTGGGGACATGAGGATTGGCATTAACTAGCACTGCATGTCCAGATGCCTGGCTCTCCCAGTTCATCCAGAAATGGTCTTTCGCAAACTGACTAACTTCACCTGACTAATATCCGTGCAGATATTGAAGTGAGGCTGCATGGACTGTTGTCCTTCATTTATCCAAAGTGAAAAACACAGGTAACAAAACAGAACCATGGAACATTGGCCCATGTTAGTAAAACATATATCTGCATATATTTCTGTACATTCATAGATAAAATTCTGGAAAAAATAGAGCAAAATTATATGCAGTGTTATCTGTAGGTATTGAATTTAAAGATAATTTTAATTCATGCTTTCATATTGTTTATTTAGGCAAGGAGGGTGAATCAGTTTCCTTAAAAACTTAATTTTTAGTTGTTTTCACAGTCACATGAGGGCAAAAGGCTGCATGGTGAAGGCTCCCTTCACTCTGGCGCCCTCCAGAGGTAACCTGTGTTAGCAGCACCTCGCATTTCCTTTCAGAGACATTTTAATGCATCTACCAGCCAGTTTGTGGTTTCCTTCACTGCTTTTCCAATCAAAAAGCAAGACTACTTTCATTCTGAAGAAAAGGTTAGAGAAGACTTAGGATGTAGAGATATAAGTGAAAAAAATACAAACAGTACGTTGAGTAGGACATATTTCATAATAATTTACAATAATTTATATTTAAAACAACTGTGAAGAGGGCCTCCCTGGGGGCGCAAGGGGTTAAAACGCAGCACTATGAAGCTATCCCCAGCCACTGCAGCACGAATTCAATCCCCAGCCAGGGAGCTACCCACATGGCACAGCTGACCTCTCCTGACTTGCTTGCTTCTCCCCTCAGCAGTGTATTTCAATCCATCCTCCTGTTCTGCTCCCCACTCTGTATCTGGTGAATTCTCTCACCCCTCCACACCTCTGGCCTGTACCCCAGTTCTTGTATGTATGGAAAAATAAATACTAAAAAAAATAAAACAACTGTGAAGACACTGAAAACTATGATCCAGATGTACCAGTGGTTATTGTATGTGTAGGATTTGGGGTGATAGTTTAAGGTGTGCACTCTACCCCCAAGCTCTGCCAGGTTCAATCTACCCCCATCTCACCACTAGTCCTTGAGGGACTGACTTCTCTCTGGGTCCTAGTGCCCTCATCAGTGCCATGGAAATGATGCAGTGACACTTAGGGCTGTCATCAGGAACATATAAAGTTCAGGTGGTGCCCCTAGAAGAAAGCCTAAGCATCTTTTTTAAGTGTCCATCATTATATTCATCTGCCTCTCCTAATTTTTTTTATTTTGGACACATCTTATAATAAAAGTTGCAGAAGGAGCTCCCATGAGAGAAGGGAATCACAGCTGGAGAGAGGAGCACAGAGAAGAGACCGTGGCCATAAAGAAAAGTGAGAGAACTTGAGCCCAAGGATGAGCAGAAATGAGACGCTGCAGCCCCAGAACAGGGGGGAGGTGGGTATGTCTCTGGCTTCCGCTAAAAATTCTTTGAGAAGTCCCTTAGCGAGTGTTGCCAGCAGAGCCTCACAAAATGGATGGACACTGGCCTAGAAGCCTCATAATGGCAAACTAGGTGCAGGGCAGCAGGGGGCAGGGGAGGGCAGGAAACTAGAAGCCACCAAGTCCCCAGCCCCCAGCGAATCTTGATGCTTTCTCTCGGGGTGCTCTCTGGCATTCTAGCGTGGCCTCGCCTCTTCCGTAGTCATTGGTCCTCTCCTAGCTGTCTCCCTCTCCTAGTCATCCTCTTATAGGCGAGCTCTAGGCTCAGGTGTGCCCACTTAGGCATGCACGCACCATACTCCAGGTGTCCACAATCGAGCATGCGTGCCCCAGCCCCCCACGCCCAAGTGCCTCCTGCATTAGCACAACCAAGAACGCAGGTGATAGCCATAGAGGCTGTGGTGTTAAAAGCCTGGTTATATCACTTACCCTACAGTCTTCTCCTCCTGGAGGCTCCCTGGACCTCCCTTGGACAAATAAGCCTCAGCCAACTCCTTGCCACGGTCTTCCTGGCAAGCCTCCTCCTGACAAAGCCTTCAGAATAAGCATGAGGATGTCCCTGATTGTGCCCAGCTTGATCCAAGGGTCTTCTGGAGCCAGTTACTGAGGCCCTGGTGGCTGAAGAGGGGGGAGTTGAAAGATCAGACGCTTCATGCACAGCCCGGCCAGAGAAAGCTGACCGATTTATTTTATTTTATTTTTTAATTTTTTAAAAATAAATTTTATTTTTATATTCCCCATACAATTGCAACCCCCTTATTTTGACCCCAATCCCTCCCCTCCCCACCTCCCACCCCCCATAGAGTGTCTCTGGTTCATAGTTGTTTGTTGATTTTGATTTTCACTTTCTTATAGTTATTCTTTTTCCTGGTCCCTTATTTAAGTTTTCTAGATTCCTGCTATGAGTGAGACCATCCGGTATTTTTCTTTTTCTTTCTGGCTTATTTCACTGAGCATGATCCCTTCCAGCTCCATCCATGTTGCTGCAAATTGCATGAGTTTATCTTTTTTGAATGCTGAGTAATATTCCATGGTGTATATGTACCACATCTTCTTAATCCAGTGCCCGATTTATTTTAAACACAGGAAGCGTCCTTTGGGTAGACCCCAGGAGTGGAATTGCCGGGTCATATGGTAGCTCCATTTTTAGTAGACTGAGGAACTTCCAGACAGCTTTCCATAGTGGTTGGACCAGTTTGCACTCCCACCAGCAGTGTAGGAGAGTTCCTTTTTCACCACATCCTCACCAACATTTGTTGTTGCTTATTTTTTTGATATGTGCCATTCTTACTGGTGAAGGTGGTATCTCAGTGTGGTTTTAATTTGCATTTCCCTGATTATAAGGAGTGTTGAACACTTTTCATATGCCTGTTGGCCACTTGCATTTTCTCTTTGGAGAAATGTCTTTTAGGGCCTCCCTGGTGGCGCAAGGGGTTAAGTACCGCACTATGAAGCAAATCCGCAGCCTCTGCAGCACGAGTTCATTCCCCGGCCACATGGTGCAGCAGACCTCTCCTGACTCGCCTACTGCTCCCCTCAGCAGTGTACTTCCGTCAATCTGTCTGTTCTGTTCCCCACTCTGTCTCTGGTGAATTCTCTCACCCTCACACACCTCAGGCCTGTACCCCAGCTCTTGCATGCTGTAGGGTAAAGAAAATATCAGGCTTTTCTGCCCTTCCGCCATCAGGATAGATGATGGATCCTTGTCCTGAATGCATGCCTGATGGCGGGCCCCTGGAATAGGGTGTGGGCATAGGTAGATGGGATTCGGCTGAGCTAAGACTGTGCTTTTTAAGGGCGGCATCACCGGGACGCCATCAGAAGCTGAGAAAGAAGCCGAAGAGAAGCAAAGAAGCAGAAGCAGAGAAGGCCAGAGAGCCCAGATAGAGTGAGGATTTGCTGGGGGCTGGGAGGACTGCCAGCCTCCCAGCCCACCAGCACCCCTGCCTGCCATATGCCTGGTGAATCCCAATAAAAGACCTGCAAAAACCCACTAAGGACTCTGACTCCTCCTTTACCCGGTCTGCATGGGATCAGAAAACCTGCACTGTGGTCCATTCCTGACCTTTACATATGCATAAATAAATAAATCTTAAAAAAAAAAAAGAAATCTCTTTTAAGTTCTTCTGCCCATTTTTTGACTGGATTGTTTATTTTGTTTTTGTTGAGTCGTGTGAGTTCTTTGTATATCCTTGTGATCGGTCCCTTATCAGTTGGCTGGAGTGCAGACTTTTTCCCAATCAGTGGGGTGTCTCTGTTTTGGTTATTGTCTCTTTTGCTGTGCAGAAGCTTTCAGTTTGATGAAATCCCAGGTGTTTATCTTTTCCTTGACTTTCTTTGCTTTGGGTGATGAGTTTTTAAAAAGAGCACCTGTACCCCTATGTTTATTGCAGCACTATTTATAATAGGTAAAACCTGGAAACAACCCACATGCCCAAAAATAGATGACTGGATCAAGAAGATGAGGTACATATACACAATGGAATATTACTCAGCAATCAAAAAAGATAAACTCATGTCATTCGCAGCAACATGGATGGAGCTAGAAGGAATTATGCTCAGTGAAATAAGCCAGAAGGAAAAAGAAAAATATCGGATGGTTTCACTTATAGCAGGATTATAGGGGAACCAAATAAGACATCAGTGTAAAAAAAAATAATAACAATACAAAAACACAACAAAGCAAAAATGGACAATTATAAATCAGAGATATCCTGCAGGGGGGTGGCGGGAGAGGGATCAGAGGAGCTCAGGGGACTGAGGTGATGGTGCATGGGTGCACTAGTGAAGGAAACTCTATGGGGATTACACCTGAGGGGGGTGGGGAGAAGCACATATTGTTTAAAAATGAACAATGATTTAAAAAAATATAAAAAAATTATATTAAAAAATAATTAGAAAAAAATTAAACACAGGAAGCAGTACAGGAGGTGGGTCCTTCATCCTTCAGCTGGAGCCTGTCCTCTGCAAACACAGAAGGGGTACAGAGAGGAGAGAGGGCTGCTCAAGACCTTGTACACACTGTCCCAGAGGAAGGCAGGGGAGGGGACG